ACAAGGTCAGAAGAGGGTGAGAAAATGAGGATGTCATCCACATAAACCACCATGAAACTCCTCTGCTCCCCCTCGCTAAGCATGAACAAGGAGTGATCGGCCGTTGAGGGAGTGAAGCCGATCCCCTCCAACACTTCGCGTAGCTTCATGTACCATTGCCTAGGGGCCTGCTTCAGCCCATAGAGGGCCTTCTTCAGCTTCCACACTCTGCCACTACCATCATCAAACCCCTCTGGCTGCGCCATAAAAATCTCCTCCTCAAGGATGCCGTTAAGGAATGCCGTTACGATGTCCATTTGCTTTACTACCCATCCTTTGATGGCGGCTCCCGCGAATAGGGTTCGCAGCGTCGTCGGCTTCACCACAGGGGCAAACAGCTCCTTGAAGTCCACCTTCTCCTTCTGCTGGTACCCCTTGGCTACAAGCCTAGACTTGTAGCGCTCGATCTTGCCGTCGGCATCCGACTTGATTTTGAAGAGCCACTTGGACGTTATCGCCGTACGCCCCTCCGGTAGCTCCACCAATTCAAACGTGTCATTCTCCTCAATGCTCTTCAGCTCACTCTCCATGGCCTTCTTCCACTCCTCAGCATCACTACTCTCCAAAGCCTCCTTGAGAGTTGCTGGTTCTCCCGGCATCTCCACCGGAGAGAAGAACGCGAAGGCACACTCCTCGTAGTCACTCTCCTCGTCGTCTCCGACCATCATTGCCGCTCCGGCCAGGGCTGTCTTGCCCTGCTTTCCCGGCGCATCATAGGTCAGCCTATTAGGGGGTTGAACTCTCCTCTTCCCCCTTCCTTCCTCCTCAGCTGCAGGGACTTGAAGGCCTTGGCGTTGCTGCGGTGTGGCTCGAATCCGTGGAGCACTCGTAGTACGGGAAGGGAGTGACGGTGCACGCTCGCTCACTTGCTGCACCTCCTCCTCTTCTTCCTCTGCATCATTGGCCTCCTCTCCCCCATTCACAAGGGAGGATTGCCTTGTGGTTGTGCTGCCGCTGCTCAGCTCCAAAGGCAGCTCCACATGCTCCAAACCGGAACTCTTCACCTCCCCAAACCGCACGCCTATCTTCGCCTCATTCTCCGCCTTCCAATCCTTGTACATGAAGTTCTCCATGAACTTGCAGTCCCTGCTCACCAAGAACTTCTTGGTGAATGGGTCCCAAAGAAGCCATCCCTTGCTGTTTTGAGCCATGCCCAAGTGCACGGCCCACACCGCCTTGGCACCAAGCTTGTTGTGCCGAAGATGCTTAGGCACGAGCGCCATGCACATGCACCCGAACACCCGAAGCATATCCACCTTTGGCTTCCTTCCTAGCCACTCCACATAGGGCACCCATTTGTCTGCTCCCACATGAGTCAAGGCTCTGTTCTTGGCCACACACGCGCTCCGCACCGCATCAGGCCAGAAATAGTCGGGTAGCCCGGCTTCAATGAGCAACCCGCGTGCCGCCTCCGTGATTGTGCGGTTCGCTCGCTCGGCGATGCCGTTCATTGCAGGGGAGTATGGCATGGTGAGGGAGTGCCGAATACCATTCTTCTTCAGCCACAACCCAAACTCCTTGCTCAGGAACTCTCCCCCTCGATCGGTGCGGATTGACTTGACTAGACGGTCTTGTTGCCGCTCCACCATCGGGAACCAATCCGTCTTCAACGTTTCAGCCACGTCGCTCTTCTTGGCCAGCACGTACACCCAAGTCATGCGGGTGTAGGCGTCGACAATGGTGAGAAAATACTCAGCTCCAGCAGCTCCAAGCTTCAGGGGGCCCACCACGTCCATCACCACCTCATCAAGCGGTGCCTTTGCCGTTGCCTCCGAACTTGGGAACGGAAACCGGGTGAACTTGGCTTGAATGCACGTCGGGCAGCCAAGCACCTCATCGGGCTCCCCCTTCACACGTATGCCAGCAACCATCTCATTCTTCACTAGCTGCTGCAAGATGGGCAGGGCCACATGCCCCATGCGCCGATGCAAGGTGAGCCAATCACACTCCCCCGTAGCCGAAGTTGGATTGGAGAATGCCGCGCTCGCAATAGCGCCCCACATACTCTCTCCGTAGTCCTCCTCCGCTGCTGCCTCTGGGTTCTCCTCACCCTTTTGCTGCTCCTTGGTTGCTGCACCACTCTCCTTAGGTTCACTGAACTTGCTGGTCCCTCCAGGTTTGCTCTTCTTGAGCTCATTCTCCTTAGCGCGACCGTTCGCGCCATCGTCGCTACCGACCGCTCCATCCTTGGTGCTGATGCTTGCTGCCACTTGCCTCTCCTTAGGCATAGGGACCACTGGGATCTGCCACATCTCGTTGTAGACATCCCTGTCCTCATGAAGGTCCCAAAGAATTCGATCGCCAAGCCTTGCGGTGTAGGTCTTGGCTCCCTTCGAGTTCGTGTCCATGCCGGCCTTTGCCAACCGCCGCACGGAAATCAGGTTTGCAGCAAGGCTGGGCACCCAAAGCACGTTCTTGAGGCCCACCATCTTCCCATCAGCACCCTTGAACATGGCCTTGCCCATGCCTTTCACCTCTGCTCGCTGCCCCAAAGCCGATGTGACATGCTTCACCGGTGACGGCTCGAGTTCGGTGAGCAAGTCCGGGCGAGGTGTCATGCTATAGGTAGCGCCACTATCAATCACCCAATAGTCCAGGGGGTGTAGGGTCACCTTCCCCACAGCTGCTGGCTCCTCAAAGCCTTCATCCTTCTCTGGACCAGCCGGTACTTGCGTCGACACGAAGTAGAATAGACCCGGGTATCGATCGTCGCTCGGGTCCTTGTCGTTGTCTCCGCTCTTCATGTTTGCAGCTCCGCCACCGCGACCGCCACGGCCTCCACGGCCTCGTCCTCTCCCTCCTCCTGCTCCTCTACCCTCTTGGCCTTGAGCAGGGGTCCAACCATCAGGGAGTTTGTAGCAGTCGCGCCACATGTGTCCGCTCTTGTGGCAATAGTGACACTCGCCGTCGAATCGGCCGCGACCGCCTCCGTAGCTCTTGTCGTCGCTGCCGTAACCGCCACTCCTGCGGCCTCCGCCAAAGTTGCTGCCACCAAACCTTCCTCCCCCTCGTCCTCTGCCTCTTCCTCGACCATATCCACGGCCGATGCTCGCTGCCCCAGCGCCATCCGCACTCGCCAACTCACGGCGGCGGAAATCCTCTTGAAGGATAGCTCGCTTCACGTCTTCAAGCGAGAGGCGGGGCAAGTCGCGATTAAGGTTGATGATGAGCGAGGACCATGACTCTGGGAGTAAGGCCAGCAACTTGGTCTTCTTTTGGAGCTCACTGTAGTTCAAATCAGCTCCCTCAAGCCGCGTCAACAAGTCGAAGAATTTCTGCACCCCTTCTTCAACCGCTTCGTCTTCTTCAATTTGTAGTGCCGCCATTTGCCGTTCCAACACCACCGCTACCGCCGCTGTTGCAGGAGCATGTACACCCTTGAGAGCAGCCCATGCCTTTGGTCCTTTCTCTGGTTCACGCTGGAATGGCTTGATGTGACGGATCTGACTGCTCCCCAACGCTTGCCCAAGTAAGAGATAGCCTTGTGCGCTCTTCCGCACCCACGGGCTCTTCTCCGGGTCGTTCTCGGGGCGCTTCTCCGTTCCTTCCATCACCTCCAGCAGGTCATAGTGGTCAAAGATGTTCTCCATCTTGAAGGACCATTCAGCAAAGTTGTCACCGTTGAACTTGTCAAGCCCAAACACCCTAGGCTCATCCCTAGGTGGGCCAAGACTTGGTTGCATGGGCGCCATGGCTGAATCACGGGGTTGGCCTTGAGCTTGAGCTTCTCCACTGCCACCAGCACCTCTTCCACCCCTTTCCTCAGGTCCAGACATTGTCGAAACTGCTCCAAGGGGCTCTGATACCACTTGTTATAGTCACAATAGGCTTGAATGTGCCTAAAACGAAAGATAGAGAGCACAGACGGATAGAGCGCCAAAAGTATCAACTCATTTCTGCACAGCGGCTTCAAACGTTGATAGCGTTCTGCTCACAGCTGCAAATGACTTGATTCAAATTGGATCTGGAGCGTCTTCACGTCGTCTACAATTATCAATTTAGATTGCACGATTTGATAAAGAATTGACGACACAGCGTCGGTTTGAACGAACGGTACTATGGCAGCCACTATAGTCTTAGAACACAAGATAGGAAGAGTTACGAGTTGGGAATGACTCCCAGCTCCTACAAACCCCAAGAGCCGAGGTACAGTGATGTGGAACAGTGCCACACTGTCCCCAACCACGAAGGGTCTCGAAACTACCCTTCACTAGGGCCTACACCAAGTGAAATGTTACACTACATAAAGTAATGTAACTATCTTCAATATCTTGAGGTGTACCCTTTTGGCGAGCTTCGAAATCACTTGAGGCTTGACACCAAGGCTCGGGCTCTTCATCACAAACTCATCCTTGAGTTCTTGATGGGTCTGCTGCACACACCTGCGACACGCCGAACGTTCGACACAGGACAAAATAGAAACCGCGCACGACAAAATAGAAACCGCGCGCGAGACACAAACGACCGCGTAACACGCGTCTAGCGATAACTCGCTATTGACTCGACACACACACTCGACATCATGACTCAACATTCACACACAATTATAAGCATGAAATATATATTATCCCATGCCCTCATACCATTCCATACACACACACATTCACGCACACGGACAACAAGCCGAGTGCAAACCGTAGGGTTGCACCAACACTGCCGCCCTCACTGCTGCTGCCTCTGCGTCTGGGAGACTGGACGGCTGAGGGCTGTGAGGGCTGTGAGGGCTGTGAGGGGTGTGAGAGGAAGGGGAGTCTGACGAGGTGGAGGTGGTTTGGGGAATGAGGGATGAGCGGGTGGGGTTGGTGGGGCGCGTCCAGGTGAGGGAGGGGCGGGAGGAGGCGGGGCGAGAGGCGCAGGAGGAGTTGACGTGCAGGAGAGAGGCGAGGAAGGAGAGGGTCGCATCGTAGACCTGAAAGGTTGGGTGGTAGGAGACAGGGAAATCAGGGAAGGGGAGGGGGGTGTCAAAGGGGAGGGGGGGGGGGGGTGTCAAAGGGGAGGGGGTTGTCAAAGGGGAGGGGGTGTAGAAGGCAAGGGTATAAGAGAGGGAGGTTGTGTGGGAGGCGACAGGAGAATAGGGGTGAGAAGAAAAAGGAGAGGGAAGCACCCTAAGTTTGCAGTATGAGGGGGACTGGGGGTGAGGGAGGGGGGAGGATGAGGGGGGATTTTAAAAGAGGGGACAAAAGGAGGGGACAGGGTTTAGGGTCATCAGAACCAGAAACAGAGGCGGATGAAGGTGAGGAGAGGAAGGAGTGAGAGTGATGACAGGAAGAGGGTGAGGCAGAAGGGGGTGAGGGAGGGGAAAACCATGGGCGCAGGAAGAACGGAAAAAGCATGGGTGGAGATTTGCGGAGAATGCAACGAGCCAATGAGCAGTGCCAGCAGCAGCTAGTGGCAGCAGAGGAGAGGCAGGCTGTGTCCTTTCAGATGTCCGACTGACCCACAGGCAGAAAGAAGGGCGGCGAGAGTGAGAAGGAAGGGCGGCGAGGGTGAGAAGGAAGGGCGGCGAGGGTGAGAAGAAAGGGCGGCGAGGGTGAGAAGGAAGGGCGGTGAGGGTGAGAAGGAAGGGCGGCGAGGGTGAGAAAGAAGGGCGGCGAGGGTGAGAAGGAAGGGCGGCGAGGGTGAGAAGGAAGGGCGGCGAGGGTGAGAAGGAAGGGCAGCAAGGGTGAGCAGGACGGGCGGCGAGGTTGAGAGGAGGGCGGCGAGGCTGAGGCGAAAGGACGGCGAGGGTGAGACGGAGTTAGCGGCAATGATGGGCGGGGATTGGAGAAAAGGGAGCACGAATGAAGGCGAGAATGGCGTAGGAGTAAAGGGGGAGGGAGAGGGATTGGGAGAGCGAAGAGGAAGAACGGACGACCATTCCCCCTGCAACACCTGAACGAGTTCACTGAGAAGTCCACATCTCGAGTTCTATTGCTGTGAGAGAGAAGAGCATTGAAGGGTAAGGCTGTACCCAATGGGAGAGAAGAAGGATGGAGGGCAAGGCGGTACGTACCCAGTAGGACTTCTGGATGACCATGTGGTCCAGGTTGGCCACCATCTTGAACAGCGTGGGCGGTGGCAGGTCGTTGAAATAGAAGTACCTGCCGGGGCCGGGCGCACCCACGAGGAAATCGGGAAGGCATATATACATGTGTGTACATACTTACAGTCATCTTCTGCGGAGAGTACTCGTATTGGTGAGAGGAATCCAAGGCATGAGGAGGGGGCATGAGGAGTAGGAATCCACCTAGGCTCGTTTGCGACTGTTTCCAACCTAGTGACTCACCTCCGCTCACTTGACGCAGGTTTTCGTGCGGCCTGTACCGACGCACAGCTTCTTGTTGCTCCCCCCCCCATGTGGCTCACTGTGCACTGGTTAGTCACCCGCCTCCCTGACCGCCTTGCCACTGCCCGCGACGCGCTTCTACAGAAGCAACCCACTGAGCTCACTATCGACCTCCTCGCGACTGCTCTCGGGACCATCGAGAGCAGTCTCCTCACCGTTGCCTCCGCCACTGATGCGGTGGCCCCCCGTTCCTTTGCGGGGTGTGCCGCCCCTCAGCTTCCCACTTTCACCGCTACCCGTGCCTCTGCTGCTGTGTCGGTCTCTGAGGACACCGCTGCCGTTTCTGCCGCAGACTGGCAGAAACGGGGCAAGAGTGGCAAGAAGGGCGGGAAGGGGGGAGGTGGGGGCGGCGGCGGCGGCGGTGGAGGGGGCGGTGGAGGGGGCGGTGGAGGTGGGAGCGGCGGTGGTGGAGGCGGCAGCGGCAGCGGCGGCGGTGGTGCACCAGGAGGAGGGGGCCCTGGAGGAGGTGCAGGACAGACAGGCCCTCCTACTGGTGGAGGCCCACAGCGGCAGCAGCCACAGCAGCACCAGCCACAGCAGGGACAGCAGCAGCAGCAGGGACCGCAGCAGCAGCAGGTACCCCAGCAGTGGGGTCCCCGCTGCAGTGGGGTCCGCAGCAGCACTAGGGTCCCCCGCCGCAGTGGGGTCCGGGAGGACCTGGGAGCACCGGCCGCAGCAGCAGTACTTCCAGCTGGGCCCCTCGCCCCCCCCGCCGTGACACGGGCCCCTGCACTCACTGGTGCGTCACCGGACCGGGGAGCCCCTGTCTCTGTGGTCGCGACGACCACTCTGCCGCGCGGTGCTTCCGCCGTCTCGACGATCTCTACCGTGCTCTTTGGGGCCCGCTGGCGGTCACACCTCGCTGGTCTCGTCTGTTAGCTCGTAAGATTGATGTCTTTGATCTGTCCATGGACGATGCGCGTCAGCATGCTTTGTATGTTGATGCTGACTTTAGTGCTGATGGATCTATGTGCTCGCGTGTTCGTAGATTAGCTTGCTTGCCTCCTGCTAGTGTAGCGTTGTGCCTTTCTAGTCTAGGTGCTTGTGTTGCTGCTCTAGGTGCTTGTGTAGCTACTAGGACAGGTGACTCTCCGGCTGAGGCGTCCCTGTCTTTCACACTGGACTCGGGCGCGTCGCAGTGCTTCTTCTGCGACCACACGACCCTTACGCCACTCCTCACCCCTGTTTCGGTGGCTCTGGCTGATCCTACCTCTGGACCAGCCGTTGCTCGTAGCTCCACGACCCTCCCGTGTCCGGTGGTCCCCTCTGGGGTCCTGCGCGGTCTCCACATCCCCTCGTTCACTCGGAACTTGGTGGGTGTTGGATACCTCCAGGACCGAGGGATCACGGTTACCTTTGTGGGGGGTGGGAGAACTGCGGTCTGTACAGACGCTGCCACAGGTGCTGTTCTCGCCACGTTCACCAGGGAGCCCCGCTCCGGTCTCTACGTCCTCCACACCGAGCGCTCCCCGGTTACGTCCTTTCCTCAGGTCGTCCCGTCCCCTCCTGTCCAGGCGTCCAGTCCGGTTGAGGTGTCTAGTCAGGTGGCCGTGTCCAGTCCAGTCGCTGCGTCTTGCTCCTGTCGCTCTCTCGCCCACCGCACCGTCCTGTGGCACCACCGCCTTGGCCACCCGTCGATCCCTTGCCTTCGTGGCATGCTCAGTCAGGGACTTGTCACAGGTCTCCCACGCACCTTCCCGTCGCTCCCTCCCTCGCTTGCTCCCCCTTGCTCTCCGTGCGTCGCCGGTCGCTTACGCGCCACTCCCCACTCCTCCTCCCTTCGTCCGGCCACCGCTCCCTTCGAGACTCTCCACTTGGACGTCTGGGGCCCTGCCCCGACGCAGGGGTCTGGGAGGGAGCGTTACTTTCTGGTGGTCGTCGACGACTACTCCAGGTACACCACAGTGTTCCCTCTTGCGAAGAAGTCCGAGGTGACTGCTACGCTGATCAGGTGGCTTCTAGCCACTGAGGGCACTCGTGGTCGTCGAGTCAGTTGTCTCCACTCCGACCGTGGGGGCGAGTTTCGCTTCGGCATTCTCGCCGGATTCTGCGGCGAGCAGGGCATTGTACAGTCCTGGACGCTGCCGGAGTCCCCACAGCAGAATGGGGTTGCTGAGCGCCGCATTGGCTTGGTCATGGACGTCGCCCGCACGTCCATGATCCATGCCCGTGCGCCCCATTTTCTGTGGCCCTACGCGGTTCGCTACGCCGCACACCAGCTGAACCTCTTGCCGCGTGTCTCGCGGCCCAAGGCTTCACCGACCAGTCTTTGGACTGGTTCCCCTGATGTTGGGTCGGCCTTTCGAGTCTGGGGCTGCCTTGCGCAAGTCCGCGACACCTCTGCGGACAAGCTCTCGGCTCGCGCCATCGACTCTGCTGACTGGTCCTTTTACCACCCGCCCCTCCACCAGTTCCTCGACTCACTAGGCCGTGAGTCGAGGACAATGATGGCCGTGTGCTCTGCAGCATGAGTGCCCTGCGGCATGAGTGCCCTGCGGTACGAGTGCCCTGCGACAGCATGCCAGCCAGAGCCACCGGCTCTGGCTGGTGCGGAGTGAAGGCAAAGGGCTTTGAGAATTCTCGTACGCATGCTCCCGGGGCTCTATCTACTGTCTCCTCCTGCCTGCCACCGGCTGACAGCAGAGCTGCCCCTTCGTGGCTTTAACTCATGTTCGCATTCAAGGCAGTCTATGCATCGCACACAGTCATGACATCACTCAGTCTATGCATCGCACACAGTCATGACATCACTCAGTCTATGCATCGCACACAGTCATGACATCACTCAGTCTATGCATCGCACACAGTTATGACATCACGCTGCTGCCCTGTCACGGTGCCACTTCAAGCCCCTCAAGAACTTTCGAAGTGAAGCTCAAACCTCTCCCTCTTCCTCCCTCCTTCTTCCTCCCTCCCTCTTCCTCCCTCCCTCTTCCTCCCCCCATCCCTCCCGCCATTACTCTCCTCCTCCCGCCCACTCTAGACCCGGACCCAACCCAAACCCTAAGCCAAAACCCGAAACCTCAGGCTTACCAGAATGGGGGGCAGCAGGGGCGAGTGCAGGAAGCTGGTGAGGTTGTAGTCCACGTAGAAGCGCCCCAGGATGGGCACGGCGCCCAGCGAGTCGACCAGGTGCTGCAGGTTTGGCTGCATGTTGATGAGATCATAGCCGTACGCTATGAAGGCCACCACTCGCTGTAGCGAGAGACAGGGAGAGAGAAAGAGGCAGATTGGGAGGTGGGATGGAGGTGGTATAGTTGGGGTGAGTGCTGGCAACAGGTGTGAAGTGGTGCATGGTGGGGTCAAAGTTGATGCGATGGTAGCTGTTCAAGATGACGGCCACTACAGCACTCGCTGCAGCGAGAAAGTGGGAGAGAGAGAGAGAGAGGCAGAGTAGGAGGCGGGAGGGAAGGAGTACAGCTTGGGTGGTGGAGACCAGCCGGGTATGAAGAGGGGGAGAGAGAGGGAGGGACAGAGAGAGGGAGGGACAGAGAGAAGGAGGGACAGAGTGAGGGAGAGGGAGAGAGGGGGAGGGACAGAGAGAGGGAGGGACAGAGAGAGGGAGGGACAGAGAGAGGGAGGGACAGAGAGAGGGAGGGGGAGAGAGAGGGAGGGACAGAGAGAGGGAGGGACAGAGAGGGGGAGGGGCAGAGAGAGGGAGGGACAGAGAGAGGGAGGGACAGAGAGAGGGAGGGACAGAGAGAGGGAGGGGCAGAGAGAGGGAGGGACAGAGAGAGGGAGGGACAGAGAGAGGGAGGGGCAGAGAGAGGGAGGGACAGAGAGAGGTAGGGACAGAGAGAGGGAGGGGCAGAGAGAGGGAGGGACAGAGAGAGGGAGGGACAGATAGAGGGAGGGACAGAGAGAGGGAGGGAGCATGCTGAGGGCAGCGGAAAGACAATGCGGAAAGGAGGAGATGCAATGTGAAAGCCAATACACAAAGGCACAATCAATGTCAGCTGAAAAAAACAAACAAACAGTAGAAAAGATAATAAAAAAAAAAAAGAGGAAGTACATACAGAATAAAGAAAGGAGGAGGACATGCCTTATCGAGAGCTGCGGAGAGCCAAGCCATGTGCGCGCGCTTGCTCACTCCGACACTCACGAAGGCCTCCACCTGGAGGATGTGGCACGGGGCATGCAAGGGATACGCAATAGGGGATGGCAAGAGGGAATGGAGTGAGGTGGAGGAGCGAGAGATGCGCCACGTGTCATCCATCACCCATCCCATCCATCACCCATCCATAACTCTCATACATCAATACATGCATCCAGCCGGCAGCACCCACCATCCATCACTCATTATCCATCACTCATCATCCATCACTCATCATCCACCACCCATCATCCATGAGTCATGCAGAAACATTAAACTTGTAGCCGGTCATTGCAGTAGTATCAACCGAAAGTCCAATAGATCCCCACTTGGGAGACATGACTTTGCATGGCGGCGGCAGCTTAGTGTAGTTAAGAGATCTGTTTGCAGTAGGCTTGCATAGAAAAAAACTTGCGTAGAAATTGGTGGTAACTAGTTTCAACCTTGGGCCTTCTTCAAACCACAAAGGAAGTGATGAAAGCAAGCATCCTAAAATACCGATCCCGAGGCTCCAGCGCAAGGCATTCCTTTGCGGGGCTGGGATGGCAGGGAAAAGCTACAGTAGAAAATGAACTACAGTAAGCCAACACTTATGAGCAGAAAAAAACAAAAACAAAAACCTACACTTACAATGCTCGTTGTAGAGAGTATGCCGTGTGTCATTGTAACGAGATGACTTTTTGGGCCGAATCAAAAGTCTACTGCGATGCCCGGCCACAAGTTTAATGCATCAAACATAACAAAAACCCATCATCCATCACCCACCATCCACCATCCACCATCCACCATCCACCATCCAGGAGTCATGCATATACATTCTGCCAAGTCGATGAAACCACAACTCAAACAGGAGGCAAATCACAGGACACACACATACATCCCTACCTATCCCCATGAATCCCTACCCCCATGAATCCCAACCCCTATGAATCCCTACCGTCATGCGTACATGCATTCCTACATCCATCTCTAACAGCAAGGTGCTTGGGTGGCATCCTGGCATGCAGGGTTGGCTTGGCCATGCACAGAGCAGAGCCATACACAGAGCCATGCACAGATCCATGCACAGAGCCATGCACAGAGCCATGCACAGAGCCATGCACAGAGCCATGCACAGAGCCATGCACAGAGCCATGCACAGAGCCATGCACAGAGCCATGCACAGAGCCATGCACAGAGCCATGCACAGAGCCATGCACAGAGCCATGCACAGAGCCATGCACAGAGCCATGCACAGAGCCATCAGAGCCATGCACAGAGCCATGCACAGAGCCATGCACAGAGCCATGCACAGAGCCATGCACAGAGCCATGCACAGAGCCATGCACAGAGCCATGCACAGAGCCATGCACAGAGCCATGCACAGAGCCATGCACAGAGCCATGCACAGAGCCATGCACAGAGCCATGCACAGAGCCATGCACAGAGCCATGCACAGGGCCATGCACAGAGCCATGCACAGAGCCATGCACAGAGCCATGCACAGAGCCATGCACAGAGCCATGCACAGAGCCATGCACAGAGCCATGCACAGAGCCATGCACAGGGCCATGCACAGAGCAGGGCCATGCGCAGGGCCATGCACAGAGCCATGCACAGAGCCATGCACAGAGCCATGCACAGAGCCATGCACAGAGCCATGCATAGAGCCATGCACAGAGCCATGCACAGGGCCATGCACAGAGCCATGCACAGAGCCATGCACAGAGCCATGCACAGAGCCATGCACAGAGCCATGCACAGGGCCATGCACAGAGCATGGCCATGCGCAGGGCCATGCACAGAGCCATGCACAGAGCCATGCACAGAGCCATGCACAGGGCCATGCACAGAGCAGGGCCATGCGCAGGGCCATGCACAGAGCCATGCACAGAGCCATGCACAGAGCCATGCACAGGGCCATGCACAGAGCAGAGCCATGCACAGGACCATGCACAGAGCCATGCACAGGGCCATGCACAGAGCAGGGCCATGCGCAGGGCGGGCTAGGCCATGGGCAGAGGCGGGAGGGAGCCTTACACAAGCCATGCGAGGAAGACGAACAATTCCATGTGAGCAAGAAGCCACGACACGCAGGAACATGGGGCAGCAGCAGCTCTCATGGGCACATGCAGCAGCAGCTCTCATCTCATGGGCACATGCAGCAGCAGCTCTCATCTTACGGGCACATGCAGCAGCAGCTCTCATCTCATGGGCACATGCAGCAGCAGCTCTCATCTCATGGGCACATGCAGCAGCAGCTCTCATCTCACGGGCACATGCAGCAGCAGCTCTCTAGCAGCGATGGGCATGGCGTCCAGGGTGCGGATGATGGACTTGGCCATGGGCATGTAGATGGGCCACTTGGGAAGCGGAGAGACGTGAGGGGTCCTGGCAGTACCTACCCAGTACCTACCCAGTACCTACCCAGTACCTACCCAGTACCTACCCAGTACCTACCCAGTACCTACCCAGTACCTACCCAGTACCCACCCAGTACCTACCCAATACCCACCCAGTACCTACCCAGTACTTACCCAGTACCTACCCAGTACTTACCCAGTACCTACCCAGTACCTACCCAGTACCTACCCAGTACCTACCCAGTACCCACCCAGTACCTACCCAGTACTACCTACCCAGTACCCCTGCAAGCTGCAGCACTCACGGGCACATGTGGAAGCAGCTGTCTTGCAGCAAGCTGCACGGCATCCATGGCGCGGACGATGGACTTGGCCATGGGCATGTAGATGGGCCACTCGGGGGTGCTGGGGTCGTGCAGTGCCATGCCCATGGTGACTGGCGCACGACGTGCGCGGAGGGGGGAGGGGAAGGAGGGTGAGGGGCGAGGAGGGGGATTGGGCGGGAGTAGGAAGGTGAGATTCTGGGTCAGCGCTCATACCCTCACATGCGCTCATATCCTCACATGCGCTCATATCCTCACATGCGCTCATATCCTCACATGCGCTCATATCCTCACATGCGCTCATATCCTCACATGCACTCATATCCTCACATGCACTCATATCCTCACATGCGCTCATATCCTCACATGCGCTCATATCCTCACATGCACTCATATCCTCACATGCGCTCATATCCTCACATGCGCTCATATCCTCACATCACATGCACTCATCTCCTGCTCTACCAGCTATCGAGTTATTGCTGCTGCTGCTGCTGACGGCAGCGGGAGTACGGCACACTCTAGGGGGGCGGACTCCCCTATAGCTCTGCTGCTGACGCCAGGGGGAATATGGCCGCGCTATAGGCCAACTCGCTTACAGGCTGTGATCTCCTCCTCCTGAAGCTCTTGGCTCATGCTGCGGGTGACGCCGGGCGGGGCGACATGGAAGGTGATGGGCATCATGGGCTGCTGGTGCAGCATCACACCCAGCATGCCCAGATCCACCACCAGCCTGCATGTGAACAAGGGAGGATGCATGCACGGGCACAAGGTGATTGATGGGCACAAGGTAATTGATGGGCAAGGCCTGCGTTTGATAATTCTCAAAAGAAACACCAATGTCGCATGACGGCATTGGGAGAGGGCGGGGAAGAAGGGAAGATGCAACAGGCACAAGGCTCACGCCCCTCCCGCTCACGCTCCTCCCACTCACGCGCTCCTCCCACTCACGCCCCTCCCACTCATGCCCCTCCCACTCACGCTCCTCCCACTCACGCTCCTCCCACTCACGCCCCTCCCACTCATGCCCCTCCCACTCACGCTCCTCCCACTCACGCTCCTCCCACTCACGCCCCTCCCACTCATGCCCCTCCCACTCACGCTCCTCCCACTCACGCTCCTCCCACTCACGCCCCTCCCACTCATGCCCCTCCCACTCACGCTCCTCCCACTCACGCTCCTCCCACTCATGCCCCTCCCACTCACGCTCCTCCCACTCACGTGTTATAGTCACAATAGGCTTGAATGTGCCTAAAACGAAAGATAGAGAGCACAGACGGATTTCTGCACAGCGGCTTCAAACGTTGATAGCGTTCTGCTCACAGCTGCAAATGACTTGATTCAAATTGGATCTGGAGCGTCTTCACGTCATCTACAATTAGCAATTTAGATTGCACGATTTGATAAAGAATTGACGACACAGCGTCGTTTTGAACGAACGGTACTATGGCAGCCACTATAGTCTTAGAACACAAGATAGGAAGAGTTACGAGTTGGGAATGACTCCCAGCTCCTACAAACCCCAAGAGCCGAGGTACAGTGATGTGGAACAGTGCCACACTGTCCCCAACCACGAAGGGTCTCGAAACTACCCTTCACTAGGGCCTACACCAAGTGAAATGTTACACTACACAAAGTAATGTAACTATCTTCAATATCTTGAGGTGTACCCTTTTGGCAAGCTTCGAAATCACTTGAGGCTTGACACCAAGGCTCGGGCTCTTCATCACAAACTCATCCTTGAGTTCTTGATGGGTCTGCTGCACACACCTGCGACACGCCGAACGTTCGACACAGGACAAAATAGAAACCGCGCACGACAAAATAGAAACCGCGCGCGAGACACAAACGACCGCGTAACACGCGTCTAGCGATAACTCGCTATTGACTCGACACACACACTCGACATCATGACTCAACATTCACACACAATTATAAGCATGAAATATATATTATCCCATGCCCTCATACCATTCCATACACACACACATTCACGCACACGGACAACAAGCCGAGTGCAAACCGTAGGGTTGCACCAACAAACTCCCCCTCGGATTGTTGGCCTTAGGATATGTTGCTCTCTCAGTTCAGAGCCATCCCAGCCAGCTTGCAACACTTCCAATGCTGCTGCTCCACCAGCCTCTTGGTCATCATGTCAGCCGGCTGCCCCGTGGTCTTCACGTAGCGCAACTCAACTTCACCCGCGGTTACCATGCTCCTCGTCCAATGCCACTTCACCCTCATGTGCTTCGTGAGTCCATGCAACACAGGGTTCTTAGCAAGAGCAATGGCACCCTGGCTGTCACATTACAGTGGGGTAGGTCCTTGCTGCTCCTCCCCCAATTCAGCCAACAAACGCCGCTGCCACACAATCTCCCGTACGGCACGGAAGAGTGCCATGTACTCGGACTCCACCGAGCTCAAAGCTTGGTCAACCTGCTTCTTGCTCTCCCAAGCAGTTGGGCCTCCACCAACACAGCATATGAAGCCTCCCACACTTGTCATGTCCTCTGGTTCTGATGCATATGAAGCATCCGAGTAGGCGGTGAGGAACAAATGCCCGGGTTCAACACCATCTGCGCCCTTTTGGCGCCTTTGTGCCGCCGCCGAGTATTGCAGCCCAACGGTCGGTGTTTGGCCAAGATACTTGGCCACCCTCATTCCAGCTGCTACCTGCTCCTCATTAGGGCATTGCACAACCCTAGCCAGCTGCCCGGTAGCAAACGCGACGTCCGGTCGGGTGTTTACCGCCGCATACATGAGGCTGCCCACCAACGAGTGAAATCGGCGCCTCTCCTCTTCACCAACGCTCTCCTCCTCTGGTCCCTTCACACACTTGAACCCAGAGGGAAAGGGTGTAGCCACATGGCCTTCACTCTGCCCAAAGTTGGCAGCCAATGCCTCCAGGTACTTTCGTTGATGCACCCGCATGCACCGCTTCTCCACATCTCGTTCGATGTGGAGCCCAAGGTAGAAGCTCACGTCACCAAGGGCCTTGCACTTGAACTTGTCTTGAAGCTTCAGCATCACCTCCTTCACAAGGTCAGAAGAGGGTGAGAAAATGAGGATGTCATCCACATAAACCACCATGAAACTCCTCTGCTCCCCCTCGCCAAGCATGAACAAGGAGTGATCGGCCGTTGAGGGAGTGAAGCCGATCCCCTCCAACACTTCGCGCAGCTTCATGTACCATTGCCTAGGGGCCTGCTTCAGCCCATAGAGGGCCTTCTTCAGCTTCCACACTCTGCCACTACCATCATCAAACCCCTCTGGCTGCGCCATAAAAATCTCCTCCTCAAGGATGCCGTTAAGGAATGCCGTTACGATGTCCATTTGCTTTACTACCCATCCTTTGATGGCGGCTCCCGCGAATAGGGTTCGCAGCGTCGTCGGCTTCACCACAGGGGCAAACAGCTCCTTGAAGTCCACCTTCTCCTTCTGCTGGTACCCCTTGGCTACAAGCCTAGACTTGTAGCGCTCGATCTTGCCATCGGCATCCGACTTGATTTTGAAGAGCCACTTGGACGTTATCGCCGTACGCCCCTCCGGTAGCTCCACCAATTCAAACGTGTCATTCTCCTCGATGCTCTTCAGCTCACTCTCCATGGCCTTCTTCCACTCCTCAGCATCACTACTCTCCAAAGCCTCCTTGAGAGTTGCTGGTTCTCCCAGCATCTCCATCGGAGAGAAGAACGCGAAGGCACACTCCTCGTAGTCACTCTCCTCGTCGTCTCCGACCATCATTGCCGCTCCGGCGAGGGCAGTCTTGCCCTGCTTTCCCGGCGCATCATAGGTCAGCCTATTAGGGGGTTGAACTCTCCTCTTCCCCCTTCCTTCCTCCTCAGCTGCAGGGACTTGAAGGCCTTGGCGTTGCTGCGGTGTGGCTCGAATCCGTGGAGCACTCGTAGTACGGGAAGGGAGTGACGGTGCACGCTCGCTCACTTGCTGCACCTCCTCCTCTTCTTCCTCTGCATCATTGGCCTCCTCTCCCCCATTCACAAGGGAGGATTGCCTTGTGGTTGTGCTGCCGCTGCTCAGCTCCAAAGGCAGCTCCACATGCTCCAAACCGGAACTCTTCACCTCCCCAAACCGCACGCCTATCTTCGCCTCATTCTCCGCCTTCCAATCCTTGTACATGAAGTTCTCCATGAACTTGCAGTCCCTGCTCACCAAGAACTTCTTGGTGAATGGGTCCCAAAGAAGCCATCCCTTGCTGTTTTGAGCCATGCCCAAGTGCACGGCCCACACCGCCTTGGCACCAAGCTTGTTGTGCCGAAGATGCTTAGGTACGAGCGCCATGCACATGCACCCGAACACCCGAAGCATATCCACCTTTGGCTTCCTTCCTAGCCACTCCACATAGGGCACCCATTTGTCTGCTCCCACATGAGTCAAGGCTCTGTTCTTGGCCACACACGCGCTCCGCACCGCATCAGGCCAGAAATAGTCGGGTAGCCCGGCTTCAATGAGCAACCCGCGTGCCGCCTCCGTGATTGTGCGGTTCGCTCGCTCGGCAATGCCGTTCATTGCAGGGGAGTATGGCATGGTGAGGGAGTGCCGAATACCATTCTTCTTCAGCCACAACCCAAACTCCTTGCTCAGGAACTCTCCCCCTCGATCGGTGCGGATTGACTTGACTAGACGGTCTTGTTGCCGCTCCACCATCGGGAACCAATCCGTCTTCAACGTTTCAGCCACGTCGCTCTTCTTGGCCAGCACGTACACCCAAGTCATGCGGGTGTAGACGTCGACAATGGTGAGAAAATACTCAGCTCCAGCAGCTCCAAGCTTCAGGGGGCCCACCACGTCCATCACCACCTCATCAAGCGGTGCCTTTGCCGTTGCCTCCGAACTAGGGAACGGAAACCGGGTGAACTTGGCTTGAATGCACGTCGGGCAGCCAAGCACCTCATCGGGCTCCCCCTTCACACGTATGCCAGCAACCATCTCATTCTTCACTAGCTGCTGCAAGATGGGCAGGGCCACATGCCCCATGCGCCGATGCAAGGTGAGCCAATCACACTCCCCCGTAGCCGAAGTTGGATTGGAGAATGCCGCGCTCGCAATAGCGCCCCACATACTCTCTCCGTAGTCCTCCTCCGCTGCTGCCTCTGGGTTCTCCTCACCCTTTTGCTGCTCCTTGGTTGCTGCACCACTCTCCTTAGGTTCACTGAACTTGCTGGTCCCTCCAGGTTTGCTCTTCTTGAGCTCATTCTCCTTAGCGCGACCGTTCGCGCCATCGTCGCTACCGACCGCTCCATCCTTGGTGCTGATGCTTGCTGCCACTTGCCTCTCCTTAGGCATAGGGACCACTGGGATCTGCCACATCTCGTTGTAGACATCCCTGTCCTCATGAAGGTCCCAAAGAATTCGATCGCCAAGCCTTGCGGTGTAGGTCTTGGCTCCCTTCGAGTTCGTGTCCATGCCGGCCTTTGCCAACCGCCGCACGGAAATCAGGTTTGCAGCAAGGCTGGGCACCCAAAGCACGTTCTTGAGGCCCACCATCTTCCCATCAGCACCCTTGAACATGGCCTTGCCCATGCCTTTCACCTCTGCTCGCTGCCCCAAAGCCGATGTGACATGCTTCACCGGTGACGGCTCGAGTTCGGTGAGCAAGTCCGGGCGAGGTGTCATGCTATAGGTAGCGCCACTATCAATCACCCAATAGTCCAGGGGGTGTAGGGTCACCTTCCCCACAGCTGCTGGCTCCTCAAAGCCTTCATCCTTCTCTGGACCAGCCGGTACTTGCGTCGACACGAAGTAGAATAGACCCGGGTATCGATCGTCGCTCGGGTCCTTGTCGTTGTCTCCGCTCTTCATGTTTGCAGCTCCGCCACCGCGACCGCCACGGCCTCCACGGCCTCGTCCTCTCCCTCCTCCTGCTCCTCTACCCTCTTGGCCTTGAGCAGGGGTCCAACCATCAGGGAGTTTGTAGCAGTCGCGCCACATGTGTCCGCTCTTGTGGCAATAGTGACACTCGCCGTCGAATCGGCTGCGACCGCGTCCGTAGCTCTTGTCGTCGCTGCCGTAACCGCCACTCCTGCGGCCTCCGCCGAAGTTGCTGCCACCAAACCTTCCTCCCCCTCGTCCTCTGCCTCTTCCTCGACCATATCCACGGCCGATGCTCGCTGCCCCAGCGCCATCCGCACTCGCCAACTCACGGCGGCGGAAATCCTCTTGAAGGATAGCTCGCTTCACGTCTTCAAGCGAGAGGCGGGGCAAGTCGCGATTAAGGTTGATGATGAGCGAGGACCATGACTCTGGGAGTAAGGCCAGCAACTTGGTCTTCTTTTGGAGCTCACTGTAGTTCAAATCAGCTCCCTCAAGCCGCGTCAACAAGTCGAAGAATTTCTGCACCCCTTCTTCAACCGCTTCGTCTTCTTCAATTCGTAGTGCCGCCATTTGCCGTTCCAACACCACCGCTACCGCCGCTGTTGCAGGAGCATGTACACCCTTGAGAGCAGCCCATGCCTTTGGTCCTTTCTCTGGTTCACGCTGGAATGGCTTGATGTGACGGATCTGACTGCTCCCCAACGCTTGCCCAAGTAAGAGATAGCCTTGTGCGCTCTTCCGCACCCACGGGCTCTTCTCCGGGTCGTTCTCGGGGCGCTTCTCCGTTCCTTCCATCACCTCCAGCAGGTCATAGTGGTCAAAGATGTTCTCCATCTTGAAGGACCATTCAGCAAAGTTGTCACCGTTGAACTTGTCAAGCCCAAACACCCTAGGCTCATCCCTAGGTGGGCCAAGACTTGGTTGCATGGGCGCCATGGCTGAATCACGGGGTTGGCCTTGAGCTTGAGCTTCTCCACTGCCACCAGCACCTCTGCCACCCCTTTCCTCAGGTCCAGACATTGTCGAAACTGCTCCAAGGGGCTCTGATACCACTTGTTATAGTCACAATAGCCTTGAATGTGCCTAAAACGAAAGATAGAGAGCACAGACGGATTTCTGCACAGCGGCTTCAAACGTTGATAGCGTTCTGCTCACAGCTGCAAATGACTTGATTCAAATTGGATCTGGAGCGTCTTCACGTCGTCTACAATTAGCAATTTAGATTGCACGATTTGATAAAGAATTGACGACACAGCGTCGGTTTGAACGAACGGTACTATGGCAGCCACTATAGTCTTAGAACACAAGATAGGAAGAGTTACGAGTTGGGAATGACTCCCAGCTCCTACAAACCCCAAGAGCCGAGGTACAGTGATGTGGAACAGTGCCACACTGTCCCCAACCACGAAGGGTCTCGAAACTACCCTTCACTAGGGCCTACACCAAGTGAAATGTTACACTACACAAAGTAATGTAACTATCTTCAATATCTTGAGATCACGGTCAGGATCACGGGCAGAACACGGGAAAAATACGGGCAGCACACGGGTATGATCACAGGCACAATCACGGGCAGCAGTACGGGCAGAATCACGGGCAGAATCACGGGTGGACAGCAAGGCACGGGCAGCAAGGGATGAGAGGAGGAGGAGGCGGATGATGCTGCAGTTGAACTCTCACCACCCACACCCCCTGAACCTCTCTCCCACAGCAGTAGTAGCGGCAGAGAGAACGAGGAGGAGGTGTGGTGGCAGCGGATGGGGGTGCAGTTCCACTCCCACACACCTTCATCCTCCCCCCACAATAGCAGATGCGAGACTGAGAGGGAGAGGAGGAGGAGGCGGTTGAGGCCGCAGAATCCTTCTTGGCACCCCCTTACCCTCCCCCCAACAGCCCACCACCTCCGCCTCCACACCCGCTCCTTCCCCACTGGCCGCCACCCCCACCACCTCGAGCTAGCACGGTAGCAGTCGCAAGCGCGGCTGGAGCTGGCGGGAGCGTGGGTGGGGGCGACGGGGGGGGGGGGGGGGGGGGTGGTGGGGGGAGGAGGAAGTTTTCGGGCGGGCGGCGGCGCGAGCGGTAGGCTGCAGGAACGGGCAGCGCGCGGGCGACGGGTTGCAACAGCAGGTGACGTGGGATCGCCGGTGCGCTGGCGGTCGTCGCTGGCGTTCCGCCGCCACTCCCTTCCCCTTTGCCCTCTTCCCCCCCACAGCGATCCGCCGCCACTCCCTTCCCCGTTTCCCTCTTCCCCACACAGCGACCGCCGCTGCACACGCGAACAGCCGCGGGGGGGGGGGGGGGGGACGGGCATGGGGCGCGGGTAATGTGACGGGCTAAGGAGCGGCAGCGGGCTACAGGGAGCCGGGGCGACGGGAAGCGGGGCGACGGGAAGCGGGGCGACGGGATCGAGGGGCCGCGAAGACCTTGTGGGACGCGAAACGGGGGGTATTCGGGGCGCGAATTCGGGGGCATTCGGGGCGCGAAACAGGGACCTTCGGGGCGCGAATCGGAGGGCATCCGGGGCACGAATCGGGGGGGCATCCGGGGCGCGAAATAGGGGGCCTTCGGGGCGCGAAACGAGGGAACTGCGGGGGTCCGAGCGATGGCAAGCAACGGGGCGTACGGGCGACGTGCGACGGGTGACGAATTACGGGTTGGTGGGCCCATAAAATTGTACAGGCTAGGAACTTGCTAGCTCAATACCATGTCACGAGACGAACTTAGCTAGGAACGGGTTTAACTAAGGGCCTAGGCTTAGTAGCCTAGGCCAAGCGGGTGTCGAGTAGTTTGTGCCAAGGAGAATTGAAGAATGGTTGGAGGTTCACTATAGCACACGAGTACATATAGCAACCTAACAAAGGTGAAAGAGGTGCACCACCATACAAGGGAATTACACAACAGCTACACTACAGGCAGATTATACTAAATAGATATAAATCTATTGTGACATTAGGTTCTGACTGATTTTGTCGCACATGGCGTTAGAGGTCAGATTCCGAATCCCAACTGATTTGATCCGACGCGGACCATACGACAATAAAAATGGCGACAGTAGCACAGAGGGTTGCACCGTCCGTAGTGACGTTAGCAGTCATAGTGACGTCGTCACTGGTAGTGACGTGATCAAAGGAAGCCACGACAACTCCTCTGAAAACAACTCGTCCGCATCATCCCACACCGTCGTCACCCTTACGGTTTCCCCTAAGGAATCTCTTGGGTCAGTCTTCAACAGACTGTTTCAGACTCATCTGCCACACTGCTGCTTACCATGCGAGACACGTCAGCAGCCGGGAGCACATGTCGGGGTGAAACCAAGGACGGACGATGTCGCTCGGCCGCAGCAGCAGACACAGCACGTCCGCTTCATGGGTTTTGGGCAGGTATCGTACCTTTCTCCCCAGGCAACAGTACAGCGAGCCAAGCTTAAAACGGGTACAACCATCTTAGTGCTCCCGGTGAATGCAGTGGATCATGGAGAAGGCCCGAGTGAAGTAGAATCACCAGGCGGCGTTGCAGCAGCTGCGAGTGGTCCACCTGCGGCGCCTTCCGTGGGCGTGCCTCATGTTGCAGCTGCTTTTGCTGCTCCTGCTGCTGCTACTGCCGTGGCAGCACCTGCTGCTGCTACCGCTCACCGTATCAACTACAGCAAATGGGACCATTTACATTCCAGCAGCGATGACGACAATGATGAGGAGGAGGAGGAGGAGAAGAGGAAGAAAGAAGGGGAAAAAGGAGGTAGAAGCAATGGTGAGGGGAAGGGCAAGATCCAGCTCTTTGCTGCTGGCGCGGCTGCCAGTGCCAGCACTTGCGTTCCTCGACTTGTTGGAACACTGTGGGATGACCTCGCTCTTCAAAGGCCTCAACGTCTGACATGGGTGCCCCAAGATCTGCCGATGATGGACAATCGGAAAGGACGGGGGCCAGAGAGGACAAGAGCTGAGGAAGACTCGAAGAAGCTTCCTTTGCTGCGTCGGGCGGACATGGTTCACTATATAGACGTGAGGGACGCGTGGGGCATGGCTCTGTGCGAGTGCTGCTTCGACCGCGCTGTGAGCCAGCGCACAAAGCACGCACTCATCATGACCAATCTCAAAGACTTCCGATATCACCTGCGAGAAACACAACCTTTCTACATCCCCCTCGCTCCCAACAGTCCGACCCGGGCAGTGTATGAGTTCTCGTTGAAGGTTCCCATGCCGGAGGCAGCAGCGCGGCTGAAAGTGCCGCCTAACATGCACTTTCAACTCAAGTGTGACGTGGTCCCTTTGCTCTGTGCGGAAGCCATGCTTCTCGAGTGGATGGCTGAGCCTCGAGTGGGCGTGCTCATGGACCTGGGGAGGATCAGATCCTGCCTGCCTGACATTCTGAGTGACGTTCCAAGTGCCGCATGCTTACCCCTTGGCTTTGTCGCTATTATTACGAATTCTTTCCCTGCTGCTGCAGCTGCTGTCCCTGCTGCTTCTGTTTCCCCTGCAGCGTGCTCCTGCTGCTGGCGCTGCAGCAGCTGCTGGGCTGCCTACCGCCGTGCTGTCAGCTTCGCTGCCTTCCTCGTGCTTGTAGCAAGGTGCCCGCGGTTTGTGACTCTATGCAGAGCGCATGCATCAACTTCCATGGCATATCCACCCATCGTGTCTGCGCTAGGGGCAGGCAGGCAAAGGGAGAAGGACGTTTTCGCTTCCATGCTGGTTCAGATACTTGGGGTGAAGGAAAGCAGGGATTTGGAGCAAGGATTTGGTGCTGCCATGCAGAATCTGCTGTCAGGCGGGCTGGACAAGGCGCATGCAGAGAGGTGGGGGAGAGCAGGCAGGGGAGTTGTGGGAGGGAAGGGTAAATGGCAGATGGAGAATGATGGGAACCTAGAAGGGTCATGGGAAAGCATGGACGGTGGTGGTAAGGATGGTAGGGATGGGAAGGGTGGGCAGTGGAGGGAGCATCTGAAGGGGCGTGTATGGGAGAGGTTTGTGGATGGCATGGCTTGGACTCTGGAGCGTGGAGGAGGGGAGGGGAGGGAGTTCAGGTGCAGCCACTGCAGTGATGGGAACGGCAGCAGCAGCAGCAGCACTGGTGAGGGTTGCAGCAGCAGCCATCTGGAGGGCACAGAGATTCCCAAGGGCATGTACGTGAGTGGCATGGGTGCCACTGACTTTGCTCTTTGCGTTGCTGCAGTGCTGTCCACGCCACAGTACCGCACGGAGAACGATCTCTACTGTCAGGATGGCAACACTGCGAGCAAGACATGGGTGGAGGATGCAGCTATTGAGACGGCCAGGGAGAGGCTGAGACGGGGGGCGCAGGGTGAAAGAAGGGCAGCAGGCAGAGGTGAAGCAACAACAGCATCAGCACTGCAACCAGCATCGGCATCAGCACCAGCAGTGGCAGCAGGAGCAGTTTCTCCCAGTGGTGCTGCTCGGGTGGGAGTGGGACCCGTGCCTGTGAACACAAAACCTGTCAACACAAACCCAGTGATTGCAATCTTCACGTATTGGGCTGTCTGCATATTGCAGTGGGCCCGCACCTATAGCTCTGAACTCATCCCCGCTAGTCAGTGCTGCAAGGACAGCCCCCAGAGGAAGGTCCGGCCCATGCGTCACCCGCTTCGGGACCTTCCGAGCCTGCTGGTCAGGCTCGGATCTATTCCGAAGCCGGTGGATCAAGGCGGCTTCCCCTGGGAGTGGGAGGAGTGGCCTCGGGGCGATGAAGCTGTGGTGAAGCTTCCTGATGACCCGAGTGCAAGATTCTTTCGGCTGGGAATTGTGGAGGAAGCAAGTGGGGCAGCAGAGGAGTGCGGGGCAAGGGAGAAGGGCGGACAGAGGTCATCTGGGCAGGGGCCAAAGGCAGAAAGCAAGATGGGGGCCGGGAGGGGGCAAGGAGGAGGCAACGGGATGGGCAAGCCGGAGGGAAGCAGCAAAGGGCATGGGAAAGAAGAGAGAATCAGAGGGCTGACGAGCGAAGACCAGAGAGGCCTGCACCGGTTGCTGACAGATTTGCTGCCGCTAGTGCAGAGGAAATACCCCATCGTTCGCTACATTGCCGATGCCGAGTTTCTGGTGGAGTTTGCCGGGTGCATGATCAAGCCACCTGCATGCGCACAGTGCAAAGAATGCTTTGCTCTCTTTAACCTACACATCCCCTTCCTTGGGGTCGTCGCCAACTACGCCTATCGACCTGCCTCCATCCTATTCAACCGCTTTGTATCCATCTTCCCCCTACATTCTCAGCAATTCAACCATCTGACTGGTCTTATCGGCCTGCCGCCGTTCCCTGCCAGCGTGCCTGGCTTTCTAAGGTCGCTTATGGTGCAGGCGCGGGCAGAGCAGGTCCCTATTGTTTTCCTGCTGCATGTGGCTCACAACTGGCCTCTCTCCATTCTGGGAATCAGGGACTTGCAGCATTTCCACAGGCGGGAATGGGAGGAGGAGCAGGAAGGACTGGGCGTGAGGCATGGTAGGGAGGAGGTGGAGGAGGAAGAGGAGGGGGACGGGAGGGTGTGGGAGGAGGTGCGGACGTGGTGCCTTGCGGTGCTGTCTGCGTGGGCGGGCAGCTGGAAGTTGGCGGTGCGGGGATTGGGTGGCACGTGCAAGGGAAAGAAACAGGCTGCTTAGGATGGATTGGAGGGAGGCGTGTATTTGACTGAGTGGGGGCGTGAGCTGTGGATCAAGGCTATGACACCCCGGTTCTGTGAAGACGTGCAGAGTTTTGCTGGCTCTTCTGGTGCCGGCGGGAGGAGCAGCGGCAGCAGTGGCAGTGGTGGGAGTGGCAGGAGCGGCAGCAATCGTCGTGGAAGTGATGGGCGAAGCAGAAACAGCAGCAACAAAGGGAGCAGGGGGGATGATGAGAAGGGAAAGAAGGAGGAGGAGCCGGCTTACCTGAAGACATGGCTTGGGGGAGTCAATTTGGTGGCATGCCTGCAAGAGATGCTGCTGGGGGAGCCATGCTACCGCCCTGCCTCCCCTGCTGCCCCTTCCACCGCTGCTGCCCCTGCCACCCCTGCTGCCCATTCCGCCCCTGATCCCTCGTCCACCCCCCCTGCCCCACCCGCTGTTGCTACACCATGCAAGGCCACTGCACCCTTTTCAGTTACAGGAGGCTCTGGTTCAGCTGCGTGTGGGGGGCGTGTGTGCGGTGCTGCTGGGTGTGGGACGGTGGAGGGCGGTGGTGTGAAGCTGAAGAACTGCTCTGGGTGTGGCAAGGTGGCGTATAGCAGCAGAGAGTGCCAAAAGGCGCACAGGCCCTCCCACAAGCTCACATGCCCCGGCAGGACCAGCGGGAGAGGAGGTGGCAGCAGTGGTAAGGTGAGTGGAATAGTGAGTGAGACAAGGTGGCAGCAGCAGGGTGTGTGGCAAGGGGAGTGACAAGGGGAGTGTGTGAGTGGAGGTGTAAGGTAAGTACGTCATTGACTGGAAGCATCATAATACCCTTCACAAGCAAGGCTTGTGTCGCCACAGCACGAGGGTGTGCCATGATTTCCTCTGTGGCAGGAGAAAACAAAAAAGGCAGCGAAGACATGGGTTGACAGATGCGTGAGATGAGATGACTTGAAAGGCAAACATCATATGAGACCACTCCAAGCAATTGAGTATTCAATCTCGCGAAACCCCACTTCCACTGTTCAGGCTATTGACCTTGCACAGCAAATACTTGGCTACTCACCATGCTGCTGGCCTTGGATCTCCACGTGAGCTTATGGAAGGGCCAGTACGCTGTTTGTGCTTTCAGAGTTGACTCAAAACTCACCATGCTGCTAGACTTGGATTTGCACGTGAGCTTATGAATGGTGTGCATTTTGTGATTCTAGTATCGACTAAAAACTCACCATGACACTGGCCTTGGATTTGCATGTGAGCTTATGGAAGGGCCAGTGTGCCTTTTGCCACTCTCTGCTGCAATACGCCACCTTCCCACACCCACCGCAGCTCCTCAGCTTCACTGCACCACCCTCCGCCATCTCACACCCCAGAGCACCGCACACAGCCCCTCCCAAACGAGCAGAACCAGAGTCTTTTGCGCTGGTTTTTCTCTGCCGAACGGAGCCTTCAGAAACTGCTTTTCCAGCAACTGTGCCATTCAGCAGTGTTCCTGTGCTCCGAGCAGCAAAGAAGCTAGCAACAGGGGAGGCCGGGCGGTAGCACGGCTCCCCCAGCAGCATCTCTCGCAGACATGCCACCAAATTGACCCCCCCCCGGCCATGCCTTCAGGTAAGCTGGCTCCTCCTCTTCCTTGCCCTTCCCCTTACTACCACTCCAACCCCACCAACTACCCCCACTGCTACTGCTGTTCCTGCTGCTGCTCCTCCTGCTGCTCCAGCTCTTATACCACCGCCAGCCCCTCCCCACTTCTCCTGATCCTCTTGATACCGCATCTCAACAGCCCTCTCCCACATCTTGGGACCCCATCTCGTCTCTCCCTCACCCAGGTGCTTGCTGCCCTCACAAGGCTTCCCCAGCCCCGCCCCCACCAGTCTTAGGCTTGCCGGCCAAGCCACCATTGCTGCCAGACACCATGACCGCACCTCTTCCCAAACCTCCCCACACTCACCCACCACTTCCCCACCACCATCTCTCCGTCCTCCCCTCCTCCCGCTCTTCGCTTCTCTCTTCCCTGTGGCCTTCCCCGCCCCGCTGCACCCCTCTCCATTCCCCTCTCCGCTCTCCTCATCCCTCCCCACCCCCTTCAACTCCTCTATCTGCAGCACTGCTTTCGGCCATTTGAGTGCCACAAGCAGAAGAAAGAACACCGGCAGCTGTTCTGCTCGCTCCCTCACCACATGCAGGTTCAGCAGTGCAGGGACGTCCGTGGGAAGAGGCTCCATTCACAGACTAGCTAACAGGTCGTTGAACTCAGGGGAGTGCAGAGGAAAGACCGATACAAAGCGGTTGAAAAGGGCGCTGGCGGGTTGATAGGCAAACGTGGCGATGAGAGTGAGGGCCGGGAGGTAGTAGGTGAAGGTGCTGAAGCACTTGGAGCAGTGGGAGCAGGATGGTGGGAGCACCATATGCTCGGCAAAGTCCACTAGAAACTTGGCGTCTGCAGTGCAGCGAACGATGGGGATTTTCTTGTTTTGAGGTGCCACGGAAGCTTCCAGCGCCTCTGCGAAGCTCGGTGAGTCGTCTCCATGTGTTGCGCCCCTCCCCACCCCACTTCCACTACCCCAGTCAACCCCGTCAACCCCTCGGTCAACCCCTCTGTTTCCACCCCCCCTGCCACCCCTCCTGCCACCCCCTCTGCCCCCTCGCCCCCGCATGGCCCTTGTTGTCCCTCCCTGCCTCCCTCCTGGATTCGCCTGCTTAGATGCCTTCCCCCCACCCTCCTCTCTCAATCCGCTCTCCTTCACTATCCCCGGGCAAAAGCATCTCTCACTCGGGTCCTTGGGAAGCTTCCCTGCAGCTTCATCGCCCCGAGGCCACTCCTCCAACTCCAAGGGAATGCTGCTTTGGTCCAGAGGCTTGGGGATGGCGCCGAGCCTGACCAGCAGGCTCGGAAGGTCCCGAAGCGGGTGGCGCATGGGCCGGACCTTCCCCTGTGTGTTCTTCTTGAAGCACTGTTTACCCGGGATGAAATCTGAGCCGTACATCCTAAACCACCGCAAGATGCAAGCGGCCCGATATGTGAAAGCAGCAACCACGGGGTTTGTATTAACAGGCGTATCTGCTGCAGCGGCTTTGGTTGGTACATTCGGTGCTGCTACTTCAGCTGTAGCATTTGTAGCGGTTGTGGCAGCTTCAGCGGTAGCTGTTACAGTTGTATCAGCTGTAGCATCTGCCACTCCCCCTCCTCCCATTCCATCGTCACCCCTCACCCTTGCCACCGTTTCTCTTCCTCCTCTTCCCCCCACCACCCGTCTCAGCATTTTTCTGGCCCTCTCAGTAGCTGCATCCTCTATCCTTGTCTTGTCTGCATTGTTCCCATCCAAAAAAAAGACTTGCCCTTTCTTGCGGCACTCTGTTCTGGAGAACACAGAGGCAACTGCAAGAGCAAATTCTGTGGCACCCACGCCACTCACATACATGCCCTTGGGAGTATCCCTGCCTTCCAAATTGCTGCTGCTGCTGCTGCTGCTGCTGCCAAAACCAGCACTCCTGCTTCTGCTGCTGCCAAAACCAGCACTGCTCCTGCTGCTACCGTCGCTGCAGCTGCTGCTTCTGCAACCACTGCTGCTGCTCCCCTCACTGCAGTGGCTGCACCTAAACTCCCTCCCATTCCCGCCTCCCTGCTCCAGAATCCAAGCCATGCCATCCACATACCTCTCCCACACACTCCCCTTCAAATTCTCCCTCCACTTCTCTCCCTTCCCATCCCTGCCGCCCTCACCATCTCTCCCCTCCGCCCCCTCACCCACCATTTCCCCACCGCTGCCTCCCCATTCCCCTCCACTCCCCCCATCCTCAGCCTCAGTCCCCTCACCCATCCACTCCAACATCGCATCTCCCTGATTCCCCACACCCCTCCTCCCCCTTCCCCCACCCCCGCCCCCGCCACCCACCGCACTCAGAAAGCTATCCATTGCTGCTCCTCTGTCTAGGCTCACCATACCTGTCACCTCTTCGCGTCTCACCCCTCCCCACGCGCTGCCCATCATCCCATATAATTCCTCCTCCATGCCTCTTCCGCTGCCCCCATCTCGCCCCGATGACTCTTCAGGGCTTCCCAGCTGCGGAAATATCACGACCTCTCTAGCAACCCTTCCCCCCCCAACCCACCATGTGTCCCCACCATGCCCCATTTGACCCATACCCCTACCTCTTGCATCCTGCCCTCCTGCTCTCCCCCTTCCTCTCTCTTCAGCGTACGCCTTCTCCAGCCCACCAGATAGCAGATTCTGCATGAGAACACCAAACCCTTCCTGCAGATCACCACTCTCCTTCAACCCCAGCACCTGCACCAGCACGGAGGCGAAAGAATCGTCCTCTTGCTGCCTTCCCGCCCCTAGCTCGCCCACAGGGGCTGGAAAAAACGCGTCGTGCGAGTCCATGTGAGCCCTCCATAGAGTCACGAACCGGGGCCATCTTGCTACAAGCGCGAGGAAGGCAGCGAAGCTGACAGCACGGCGGTAGGCAGCCCAGCAACTGCTGCAGCGCCAGCAACTGGACCACGCAACAGCTGGAGCAACAGCAGCAGCGGCAGCAGGGCCAGCAGCGGGAGCAGAAGAAGTAGAGGCCTCGTTAGAAGCATCTCCGGCTCCCACGATAGCAGGCAGGCGGAATCTGATCCTCCCCAGATCCATGAGCACGCCCACATGAGGCTCAGCCATCCACTCGAGAAGCATCGCCTCCGCGCAAACAAACGGCGCCCTCTTGCACTTCCAATGAAACTGAATGTTAGTCGGCGCACCCCCTCTCCCACCCAGCATCTCCACAGGTATCTGCGAGGCGAACTCGTGAATGGCCCTTGATTTCCGGTTCGGCGCCGCAGCAGGGACGGAGGGAGGCAACTGGGTGTGCAGGTGGAAGCGGAAATCTTCGAGGGACATCATGTTGAGAGCGCGCTGCGCTCGGTAGCTGACGGCGCGGTCGAAGAAACACTCGCATTGCTCTATCTCCCAGCCGTCTCGCACGTCTAGATAGTGAACCATGTCCGCTCTACACAGCAGCTGAAACTTCCCCGATGCTTCCTCATTTCCCCCTTTTTCAACGGATCCCCATCCATTTTTTCGCGTCGCTTGGCCCTCCCCAGTTGGTTCCTCCCCTTTCGTCCCTTCCCCAGCAGGTTGCTCGTCTTGGGTGTCCCATGTCTTCATCCACTTCTGGACGTCCTCTGAGATCGGTTTATTCCACCATGCTTCCCTCAAGGCCGCCTCCCTCGCCGCTTCAGAGGCGAACGTTGGAAACGCGGAATTCCGGCGACGCATTTGTGACCCGTTTCCGCTCTGATGAAAATGAGAAGGCACCGCGTTGAATTTCTGAAGCGCATGCAAAACGCCTAATTTGGTAGTAGCTGTCGCGAATCACTCGCGCTGAAAGAACGTCGGAAGGACGCACATTAAATCCTGAAAATGTGTGAGCCTAGATGACAACGCCAGCTACATTGACACAGAGAAGCATCACTGAATCATGGCCGACACAGAGCGTGAGTCAGACCACACCATTGAAGCTACGGGAAACACAGCACAAGTGGGAGTGGTGGAAATTCAATCAGAAAGCCGGGGCTGAGGAGGTGAAGCAACACGAAGGTTCAAATGTGAAGTTTGTTCGGCAACGAGGGTTCTGATTGGTTACCTGGTTTCAGCTCGGCTGGTATGGTTAGGTATGCTTTGCTTTGGGTTAGCTTCGGAGAGTTACTGGGAAGGTTTGGTTGGTTCTGGCGCGAAATCCAGGTTTTGACGGACATGGCTTTGTCAGAATTCTATAATTGTCTAGTTTGCAGTGGGGTACTCTATACTGAGTACAGCCCAAATTAGGGTCTGCTATATGTATCCTATCTGCTGCTAGTGCAACCCCTCTTTCTCTTTCTAACTTTCTGCTAGCGTTTCTCGACATGCTATCAGAGCGAGAACGCTCCTGGCCTGTGGGCCCACCTGCTTCCGCCGCTGTCCTGCCTGTCGCGCGCCCGGGGCGCGCGACGTTTTCTGCCTGCCGCGCGCCTGGCGCGCGCGGCGTTTTTTTTTTCTTCCCGCCGCGCGCTCGGGGCGCGCAGCGGTTTTCTGCCCGCCACGCGCGCGGGGCGCGTGGCGGTTTCCTGCCGCCGCGCGCCCCGGGCGCGCGCGGTGGTTTCGTTGCCCGTCGCGGCGCCCCGGGGGCCCGCGCGCTGTCCCCTCCCGTCGCCCGTAGCGGTGTCCCGGGGGCCCGCGCGCCGCCCCCTCCCGTCGCCGTCGCGGCGCCCCGGGGGCCCGAGCGCCGCCCTGCCCGTCGCCCGTCGCGGCGCTGTGGGGGCCCGCGCGTCGCCCCCTCCCGTCGCCCGTCGCGGCGCCCTGGGGGCCCGCGCGCCGCCCCGCTTCCGCTCGCACGCCCCCATACCCCCAGCTGCTGCCCGCGTATCTGCCCCGCGCCGCACGCGCGCCGCCTGCGTTGGGGGTATGGGGGTGGCGGGTGTGTGAGCCGTCCCCTGCTCCTCCTCCTCCTCCGTCTCCCACTGCTGCAGCTGCCGCTAAGGGGGGTGGGTGTGTGGGAGCCGAGGAAGTGGCGCTAGGGGGGTGTCATGGGAGTGGAGCTAGGGGTGCAGCAAGGGGTGTATGAAAGGGGTGTGGGACAGTTGGGGGAGGTTGAGCGGAGGTAGCCGTCGTGACGTCAGCAGCGCCAGTAGTCCGGGGCCCTTGCTCCGGTAGCCCAGCGAGCCTGCTGCGCCAGTCGCCCGTGGGTCCGTTGCTCCTGCCGCTCGTCTTAGCCGCGGAGCCAGTTACTCCTGTAGTCCGGGGCCCTTGCTCCGGTAGCCACCGTGCGCGCCGCTCCTGTTGCCCTTGTGTCTGCGGCTTCACCCGTCGCCTCCTATCTCCACTCCTCTCACAGTCCCTCCTCCTCCTCACTTGCCCTCTGTGACTGCCTCTGGCTTTGCTTGTGCTTGTGCACTTCTTATGCGACTGCTTGCTGTGCTGATCATACCCCACTTTGCCTATGGGGGTGTATCAGAATTCTATAATTGTCTAGTCTGGAGTGGGGTACTCTATAGTGAGTACAGCCCAAATTAGGGTCTGCTATATGTATCCTATCTGCTGCTAGTGCAACCCTTCTTTCTCTTTCTAACTTTCTGCTAGCGTTTCTCTACAGGCTTAATATTCAGGTTATTATACGAATTGTTATATACATGGGCTCGTTATCACGGATGGTCATTCGTCTATCGCAAACGGTCACATAATCCAGCAAATCTATCACGGATGATCATAGAATTATCACGGATAGTCACCCGTTGCCCCGCATTTCTATCATGAATGGTCACTTGATGAAACCCTCAAGGAAAATTGAAGGGTTATTATACGAATGGTAATAAAGATCGGCTCGATATCACGGATGGTCAATCGTATATCGCAAACGGTAACAGAATCCAACGAATCTATCACAGATGATAATAGAATTATCACGGATAGTCACCCATTGCCCCGCATTTCTATCACGAATGGTCACTCGACGAAACCTCAAGGAAAGTGGGAAACTCCATGAGCCACTGTGAAGAAACTGTAGAGATTTTGGGGAATCCCAATTTTGATTCCTTGTTACCTCACGCATGATTCTCGTCTGACATCTAGGACTGAAGAAAAAAAATAAACCCCAATAGAATGGCACGCCTTTCGGGGGGCATCAACCCTAAACAACATGCGACAAGGTGTTTAGGGTTGATGTCTCCCGAAGGAAATCCCATCCGAATGGGTTTCAGTTTTTTTTTCTTGGGAACAGAAATTAACATTCGAGTCACCCGTCTAAAAGTGATATTATTTGGGACATTATACATCAATCGAACAGTGGACAATCGAACAGTGAACACTGCGCCACGAGCTAAATTTCTGATGTTGCCGAGAAATTCCATATGTTTCTAACGAGTTAACGAGAGTGGTCGTGAAAATGTTTCGTAAGTAACAGCGTGTGGCAACACTACGGACAAAATGGCGCGCGCAAAAAAAAAAAACTTTTCCTGAATCCCTATAGAGACTTAAGTGACTGAATCCTATAGTTTCGAGTTTCCTTAAGGGTTTCATCAAGTGACCACTCGTGATAGAAATGCGGGGCAATGAGTGACTATCCGTCATAGTGCTATGATCATCCGTAATATATTCGCTAGATGCTGTGACCGTTTGCGATAGTGCTATAACCATCCGTGCTAACGAGCCGTTGATAACCCTTGATATCTACAGAGGCTAGGTAGCTTCTGATAGGTGGACGAACTCCAGCAGGTGTGTACAAGCTCCTCAACAAAACGTTCGTGCACTGATGACTTGCGAGAGCGAAAGTGTCCTAACCTATTTGGTTTGTCGCAGCGACCTGCTGAGACTTGTCTGGGCCCTCGGTTAGCCCTTGATCCGATTGACCAGGCAACTTCGGGCCAGAAAACTGATTTCTCATCCTGTCTGGTCTTTAGACGATGACCCTGGGGCCTCGTTTCGTTTCAGGAAGCACATTTTGAATTTGTGCAGCACTGCTCACATGCAAAAGAACTTCAGTTTGTGTCATCGGACGGTCGAAAGTATCTGCATGAATACGCCTTCACTTCAGCAGACCGAAGTGCTTCATTCTGACTCGGACTAGCTGACCAGTAGTTGTTCGTGGTGAAGAATGTAGAGTGAGGTAAAGCGCCATATATTCACCGACCTGTTCAGTGTGAGGGACTACATTTGAAGCTAAGTACAGAGTAAACAGTTGGTGAAAGTGTCATGACGACGGGATGCATGAATAAGTTCACTTTATTATGGACCATCCTAATCAGCAGCCGTCATCCGCAAGGCAAGGCATCGCATGCAATATTAGTTTTGAGGCAATCAGTCTCTCCCGACTCGGAGACCTGCCTCGCGCTCCTCCACGTACTCTCACTCACCACATTAACGCGGCCCGGGTACTATCGTTTCCAGAAGAACGACCTATTTGGAGTGCGGGTTTCAGATTGCACGAAGTTGGATTTAAAACGACGTTTCAGATGGCAGGTGCTGGGTCGGGCAGGTCGCGCAGTCGCAGTCGCTGCTGCTCCGCCTCCTCTAGCGTCTGCTGCGACAGTACCTATCCCTGCTGCTGCTCCTGTGGCTCCTCCCCTTCCCTCTCCTGCTGCGGCTGCAGCTGCACCCGCTGCTGCGACCGGGACTCCTGCACGACCCTCTCTGCTGCGGCTGCAGCTGCACCCGCTGCTGCGACCGGGACTCCTGCACGACCCTCTCCTGCTGCGGCTGCAGCTGCACCCGCTGCTGCGACCGGGACTCCTGCACGACCCACTCCTGCTGCGGCCGTGACTCCTCCTCTACTCTCTCCTGCTGTGTCTGCAACTGCACCTGCTGCTGCGAACAGGACTCCTGCTCTACCGTCTCCTGGTGCGGCTGTGACTCCTCCTCTACTCTCTTCTGCTGCGACTGCAACTGCACCCGCTGCTGCACTCGTGACTCCTCCTCTACTCTCTCCTGCTGCGGCTGCAACTGCACCTGCTGCTGCAGTCGTGACAACTCCTCTGCTCTCTCCTGCTGCTGCTGTGACTCCTCCTCTACGCTCTCCTGCTGCTGCGACTGAGACTACTCCTGCTGCTGCTGCTGCTGCTGCTGCTGCTGCTGCTGTTGTGCCCTCTCAAACCGCTCACGCTCCTCCCTCTCCAACCGGAGGAGACGCTGCTCACTCGTCAGGAAACGTACAGTGCGCGGTGTAGGCGTCACAGTGCCAGTGACTCCAGCTCCAGCACCCCCAGAACCAGCACCTCCACCACCGACACCCCCGGGGCCTCCAGTACCTCCCGCAGGAACACCCCCAGGCTCCGCAGCAACCAGCCGCAGAGAAGAACGAGGAGGAAACTGCAGGACAGACGGGAAGCCAGGGGGTGACGCGGGGCGAGGCCGCCGACTCGAGGCTGCCGTGTCCTCCACAGGAGTGACCTCCACGCCCACAACCCCTGCACACCCAGAGCCGACACCACCAGCTCCTGCAGCCCCAGTACCGTCACCCTCCGCAACAGCACCTCCCGCACCCCCAGACACGACAGGGACTGGACGCTGCGGGGGGGACGACTGCGGAGTGATGTGCGACACACCTGACGGGGCAGGACGCGAAGGGGGGGGGGGGGGGGCTACCGAGGCGACTGGGGGGGGCTCAAGGGTGAGGAACAGCGGGGGGGAAAAGGCCTCAGTACCTCGGTGGGGGTGACTCCTGTAGTAACAGACAGACTCGTCGAACGTGACGTCCTGAGAAGCTAAACCCTAGACCCTAAACCCTAGACCCGGTACCGGTTTAATTT